TTGAAACTACTGGGCTGCACATGGCATGAGTTTAAAACATCTAATCAAGTCTGCACCAGTGGCTATGCCTGTCTGCAGTTACTTAGACAGTGTCTCCTATTGAACAGGTTCCAGTTGGAAATGAGTTTGACTGAGAAGTCAGCTGAAGCTGAAGCACACACTAGAGAGATAGCTGAGAATAGGAGGAGACTGGAAGAACTAATACAGGAAAATAAAAGAACTAAAGGTGAGAGTGAGAAAAAAATATCTTGGGCTGGTTCTTCATTTAAGACTAAGTTTTGGGTCACGAAATCACTTGTGTGTCATAGCACAGTGGTTTGAGGTTTGCCTATTGTGTTGAATATTTGAACCCCTACCAGCTGAGTTGCCTTAGTAGCTTTGAATCCCACATAGGGCACATTCCTTGGTGATCAGTTTGCTGTGCCTTTTGCCTTTCTACCTTGTAGTTGAAACATATATCATTATTTTCAGTCAAAGATGGCACAGCTGGACTCAGAGTTAGATTGGATGGACTTGGACAAAGCTAAACTTATTGAAAGGACAGAAATGCAAGCTATGGACCTGAAGAAGCAGTTGGAAAAAGGAGAGGTATGCTATATAACATCCAGTAAAATTAGCAGATGAGAGTAGAGATGATTCAACACATAAATAAAACACTTCTTAAATTAAACTTAGAGGAAAGACAGGAATTACCTAGCAATGGTTGGCTACATATTTCGAACTGACATTGCTATTTTTACTCCACATAAGTAAATTATATTAAAATAATATTGTCGCAAAGCATGAGTGTGCTTCCTCGTATTATGTGCAGCTATGACTTATTGGCGTCGCCTAACCGTTTCGACAGGCTGATTTTCCATATCTTATTTCCACCAGGCGACACTCATGCTGTAATGTTCTACGCCCTTCTCTATACACGCAAAAATGCGTGCAATATTGCACTGCTAGCACCCCCGTAATATTGTACGTCATTCTTAATATGCGCAAAATAAACTGAACTGCATGAATTACGAACTGCTCGCGCTCGCATGCCAAACAATGCATTACATTCCTCTGGTTGTATAAGCACATGAGACAAGTAATGCACAAGTGTTGCCCTTCTCCTCAGTTTTGAGTTGTGACTACACTGTGTGCAATAGCCTCAGACTTTCACATTAGACTTTCACATTTGTTAAACTGAACAAAGTCTACTAATAAGTCAACTAATCCATTATATTGCAGGCCTCAAAGCTGCCTTATATTTTGAAGTGTACCTACCTCTTAAATTGAAAACCACCACTGAGATCCACTGGGCCACAGTTGCTCAGGTAGTCGTGATAGGAGAGAAAATCTACATTGGAGGAGGCGATATGCAAGTGGAGAATGTGGGAGGGAGTGAGGAGTGTGTGGTTGAATTAAGTTCAGACGGTGAGAACGATGATCGTAGCTGGTGCAATGGACGCAAACACCAGTGAGCCAGTTGGCCAGGTGCACGTGCTTGATAACCACAATGATACATGGCTCACCCATTTCCTGGAAGCAGTGTACCTACGGTTTGGGCATCAGCAATAGGCTACAAGAAGTGGCTCCTCGTGTTTGGGGGATGGCTCACAGCAGATCTCGACAGCCCTCTCGATGTTGTACAAGTGTTGGACACCAGCTCCAAAAAGTGGTGCGCAGCATCACTACTACCAACTCCTGCAACTAGACCATCACTTGCCATCATTCAGACACCCTCTACATTGCCATGGTCCAACATCACCGAGAAGCACAAAGATTTTCATTCCACACTGCTATCTGATGCCAAGTCGTAATCTTTGTCTGTTAAGCCAACTTGTGATTGGCAGACACTGCCGACTACACTTACCTCTTTTCCACTTTTTGGTCTGAAACTTCATCATCCACCTTTGCCATGTACCTCCCACACATCAAACAGTGGCAGAAAGTGGAAGAGCTCCCTTCTCCACGTGCAGGTTGTGCATGTTGTTTCCTACCAGCCACCAAAGAACTGATGGTTATTGGAGGCTCCAAGGATAAAGGCCCTATCTTTACCATAGATATCTGTCAGCTAGACAACTAATATATTACAGTATTATACTAATCTGTAACCTATTTTGCCACTTTTTGTAAGAAACTGTTTTTATAGGGGCACTCAGAAAAACCAAACCAGAGCACACAACTGGTTAAACACACCAATAGCAGAAAAACCACTATGTATACCGTTTAAAACACAAAAAAACTATCGCAGTATGAATTACACTTGTATTTGTAGAATGACTTTTAACACTTAACTACCCGCTGACACATAAATGTGTCCAGATCCTTTATAAGTCTGTAAGAATTCATATGGGGTTATAATGCTAGGCGCTAATACTTTATACATCAATTTCTACTTATTTAATCAATACCCATGGCGTCCAAGGGTTTTAATATTTCGCAGCTATGTATGTATATAGAATCACGATAGCATAATTAAGGTATTTAGGAACAGGCACTGCACATACTGTAATGATCTACGCGATTCTAAGTACGTGTGAAACACGTGAAAAATCAGCTTCACTTGCCAAAAATACATTGTATTCGTTCTAGTAGTTGGAGGATTGTCCTCACCTTACATCCGAAATTTTCATAAAGTACCATTCCTACATCCCTTTTAATTTCAGTGAAGAGAGTTCCCATTCCATTTGCCAACTCACAATGACAATGAGATGCACAGTTATTGCAGGCTTAATTTTTTTTTATAGAGGCATGTGTATGCTCAAGGTGATTGGTTAAGGATATGTCTATACAAGAGAAGACTGAGAATTCCCAAGTTCTCACATGTACTAAAATAATATTATTGATGTGATGAAGCTGCATGGAAGAGATTCTGGCTTGTGTTTAGTCGGAGCCATGATTTACCATTCTTCGACTGAATGTGCGACATGACCCAGAAAAGCAGTCGTATCGTCACAAATCCAGTGTAATATTCTTGCTAAAATACTGACTCAGCTGGCTGACTGGTCGCGTGGGTGAACAAATCATTGACATATCCATACGTGGGTCCGAGTACCTCTACAAGTCATATTATGGAAGCTAATTATGTTTGGAATCTTTATACACATTTGTGGCTGCATGGGAAGGCTTTAGTACCATCCTATGATTGGCCACAGATCTGGCACACAACAATGAAAAACCCGGCAAGGAACACGAAATAGATACACCCACAATGCACAGACCAATTATTCTACAGCTCCATTCTATGCAATCCAGCTATAAATAATTCTCTCCCCCATGATAACCTGTTATGATATAATGTATTGTATATTTGTCCCTCACGCTTGAAATCTTTGCCCAGATGTTTTAACTATACAAAGACATTGATGTTGGTGGTGGGAAGAAGTCCAGTTGATTATCACTAGTCTAAACCACAAGCAAAAAAATCCGTTTGTGGTAACCAAAGCTCTATTTTTCACAACCAGACTCAGATGGTAGTAACAAAACAGTCTTGTGGTCCCTGAAAAAATGGATAGCTATCAAACCCTCCATGACCAAAGGTTTTTGCAGGAAGTAAGAGTGCAGAGTATATTATACAAGACTGCCCATGAGTTTTCTGGCAATGAGTTCAACAAACAAGACACACTGCATTGGAAATGTTTTACAAGATCTAGATTCCCTCAAGGAATTCATGTGGGATTTTATTCCCCACAGAGCTGGCCATAATTACACATTGTGAACACTGGCTTTAGCCCCTAAAATTCTATACGTCACAGCAATTAGTCCTCTTAGAGTGAGCTAAGGTAATGCGCATATGCCTTGTCTTTGGTTGTGATGTAGGTTCTGTACCAGAGTGTGGGTCCATTGTAAAAGCCCCGTAAAGATTTGATAAATATGTACAAACCAGTTCCAGTAACGCACAAGATGGTTTTATTGGCAGGTAGCTACACTTCTTTCAGTGATCACAAAAATTCAATTCTGTCTTGACCACTTGGCTTTTCTAGTATATACACACACACTATGGCTGAGGTCCTTACACTCTGGCAGATAGTGATATAATCTGTGTATGAGTGTCTCATAGATTGTGGTCCGGGTACTTTCATACAATGCTGTGTGTTGATGAGAGTGAACTGCTCTGCATATTTGGCGAATAAAGTAAGAACCTACATAGTCGTCGAATCTCAATGGCGCATCTAGGATTTAAAGGGGGCAGAACATTTCGACTGCGCCATGTTGTGCACACGAGGCCGGCGACGCATGCATGCAAAACAACACAAATGGGGGTTCCGTGGAACCCAGGAACCCCCCTGGATCCGCCACTGCAAATTATAATGTGACATTGCATACTCACGCACAATATGAGCTCCTTACACTCGGTTGCAAAAGGTGTGGCATTCGTTATAGTATTAATGACACACTGTGCCCTACAAGCTACCCTGTCATGCTGCTGGCAGCATTTAACACACCCCTAACAAAGTTAGATACAACTGAAGACAATGCTCACAATGACACATGCAGAGAGGAAACCAAATGATACGAACATGAGTTTTAAATCTAATCTGACGCAGTAACCAAATTATCGTAATCTTATGCTTACGCAATCGAAAAACCGCTCAAATTTCGAAGTCACGTTCGCTTGCCAAATACGCATCGCACTCGTTTTTTAATCATTCAAATACAACGATTATCTTGCTTTGTAGAGATATTTGCTGATGATTTGTCGTTTTTTATCTGAATGACGTAGTTCATTTTCTAGTGGCACTGATGTTGCTGTCTTCTACTGACATGGACACCTCTCTCAGGACACCCCAACAAGTCCACCTCAGCTCCTCCACATAGTCACTGAGATTAGATATCTCCAGACAATCCTTGACACCGAAAGTCAAGACCAGAAAACGATTGGCAAACTTTAGTGTCTGAGCAGTGAACGACTGATGGACAGTAACTTCTTTCCTTTAGTTTTCCTCCTGGAAAAGAGCTCTGTGAATTGACTTCCGGTACATCAAAGTAGTATCCAAATCGTCTGTCCCAGAAGAGAGATTCTGAGGCTGAGTCATGTCTGATGATGAGAATGATCTCCTGAGATTATGAGACATGCCACTAGCAACGGCCCCCACATTGAACTGTTGAAGAGGTCCAAGTCCTGTCCACTGGCAATATTCACAATGTCTACCTGCTGATAGAGGGAGGAACAGTCCAGTCTGGATCTTTACCTCTTTCAGGGTGGTATTGTGTTTCAAAATTGTATTAAGTTGTAGAAGGAAGTCGGTGCAGGTTGTTTTACTTGGTAGAGGAATGTGTCTCGCTGATGACAGGGATGTAAAATCAATATTGCCATATTTCCTTCTCCCTCTTTTGGGCGGTAAATGCAAATCGTCATGAATCACAAGATGTCTTAGGGCTGTGTTTTTTATCAGAGCGCTGCATATGTAAATAATTCCATCGTAGCCAAGTTTACCCATCTTAATTTCCAATGTGGCAAGACTGGAACAACGTAGTAAGATGCTGTATACACCAGCCATGGTCTCACGAGATATATCGTGCAGCTTCATTTCAGTAAATTCATTTGATCTTTGGACTGATTTTAAGAGTGAATCGATACCTAAATGTATTGAGTAGGAGACTTCATACCTAATGGTAGTAGAAGGAAATTCAACATCAAGAACGGCCTCTGTCCAATTAGGGACTGCTTGCCTGTGGAAATACGGAGCATACTTTTGTGTTGGGCGACTTTTTTTGTTAGTAATGTGAAATCCTTTAAGCTCATGATTACCAAGGGACTTCAACGCTGGAAGCCACTCCCAAGATCCAATACTGATATAAATGAATTTCAATTTTCGAAGGTTTCGTAGCAAATGCTGAACAACGTCACTACCTATAGTGGAGTGACACTCAAATTTCATAGTCTCAAGTTCAGTCCAACAATTTGCTTTCAATAGCCAAGACACTACTGTAGTGGAAATCGGCTGTGATTCAATTTCCAGCTCAACATTGAGCTCTCTAACTCTTGGCCTCGCATATTTGCAGTGGTCTTCAAGACCTTTTACAAATGTTTCCACGAGTGAAATATCATTATCTCTTCTAACACCCAGTGACAGATTGAATATGTCAGAGGAATGTGCCAGGCAGTAGGACAGGGCATAGCAATCATATGGTGCCTGAATGGACTGCGAAGACGAGGAAAAGTGGCCAATGGAGACATCCCGCCTGCAACCGCTCCTCGTTTCAGCTAAAAAATAGTGTGATAGGATAGCTGGGTTTTGAGCCTCGTAAAGAGACCGTAAAAGGACACTGGGATCTTTGATATTAGCAGTATCATTACTGAGATACAGTTCCCAGTGGTTTTTATCATCTTCTGATTGACCTTTCCAGCCAGTAATGCCAGCTAGGAATATGGCTGGTTCAACCAGAGATGACCTTTGTTGCCATAAAGATGATATAAGGGCTTTTTCGTCTCTGCTTTTACCTCTATACATTAAATCACCATCAACGGCCAGTTTATGATAAGCGACCTGAAATTCAATGCTGTAGGTACTAGTAAGGTGCCAAGTTGCCAGGTATTCCTGCAGGCTCAGATGCACAAATGAGAACGCTCGCTCTACCCCTTTCCCAGCATACATTTCAGTGGATTCATTCATAAAACCAAAATGAACCAATCCCTCGGGAATGTCCTCTTTGAAAAACGTTCCCTTTCTTGTTTCACACGTTTCGTAAAATAAATCTGAATTTCCTTCGTGATATGTGTCGAAGGCAAACTTAGCAAAAGCCTTGAACTTTTTCATCTCGTGGTCATTCAGACTTTCTGGAAGCGTGCTTGTAAACTCACGATCATCTTCCTTCATCTTCATGTGTCGAACAAGGACTGAATGAACGAGTGCCCTGTATAGCTGCGTTCTCGTTCTCGGTAAAGCAAGGTGGCGGCTACTCTGAGACTCGTAATAGACTTGTGCTATAATGGCGCAGTTAAGTGGAATGTACATCATTGACTTGACATGAGGGACAAGAAACATGTATTTTAAGAAATTCACTTCAAGCCCTGGTTTCTCACTGAAAACCTCAGTGATATACCTCACTCTTTCTTCCTCTGTGAACCCTACAATTTCTATATGTTTATCAATTTGGGGCTGGCAGATACTTTTAAGGGTGTGTTTAGCTGATGATCTTGTTGTGACAATGATGGTGCATTCTGGCAAAAGTTGCCGGCATAAAATACTTTTTACGACAGAATTGTCGTCGAAACTGAGAGAAATCTCGTCAAACCCATCTAAAACCATTAAAAAATTTTTCCCTTGGGTATTATGCAATTCTAGCGCAATATTTTTGCTTAATTCAGGCTGAAACGGACATCTGAATAGATCTGAAAGTGACACTGCATTTAAGACCCACTTTTCCTTCAACTTAAGCAGCACCACAGTGTGGTAATCTCTGAGGCTTTCTATCTCGTCCCATCGTCTGCATGCCTCCCAGACAAAGGTACTCTTACCAATCCCTGGAGGACCTTCTACCAGAATGAACCTGACTGGCCTACCACTGTGTTCCGGAGTCAACAAATTTTCGATATGGATTGGTTTCTTGCTCTCAAGTATTTCGTCAACTCCCCCGTACAACATTCTCCTGCTAAATTCATCTCTTTGTTCAGGGTTATAGAGTAACCCCCTTCTTATTATGGCCAGATTAATATAGGGAGCCTCTAGGGTGGAAAGATACTTGTCTGCTGGAGCAAGAGCTCTAGCTTTGTAACAAGACAGTAGGTACTCCTTATACTTGCTCAACACAGGACTTAAGCTGGATTCTGGTACAGACTGACTTACTTTCTCTGATGATGCTGCACTATTACCTGCTCTTTCAGGCGTTTCTGATTGTTGTGAAATAGCAATCTCTTCCTCTTGTGTCTGTTTATTGCTCACTGTAAGAGAGAAGGTGGTAAAACTGTGAGGTCGCTAATACTTCATTGATGGTGTACATACCTGAAACTTCTGATGAGCAAACCACAGCGTCTGGAACATTTTTGTGACAAAAGAATCTTGGAACTATTTTGCCTAAAGACATAAGTCACACCACATAAAAGCACATCTTAAAGTCAGCTAATATCTTACTTGCATGCTTAGACATTTCATCTCCTTCTTCTCGAAGAACATCACTTTCTTTAAAAACTTCAATTATCCCAAGGAGAAGGTCTGGTCGTTTCTTTATCTTCACATCCAAACCACTAACCAAACTAATGATCTTTGCTTGTCGTGACTCAGGTGACATGAGCATATCCTTCATCACTACAACTGATATAATACCTTTTTTCTGAAGACATGCAGCAGTTTCAATGGGGTTGAAATTGAGGCAGCATAGTTTACCAAACGAACGTTTAAATAATCTCCTGAGTTTTTTGCTCTCCTCCCCAGACAACTCAATCTCCGGAAGGCCATCACAGTCATCCGAGTCGGAGGAGTCAGAGAATACGTCAATAACGCTTGGCTTAGAGCGAACAAACTTCTTACGAATGTCATCTGCTGTCTTACCCTCGCTTACGCAATCTGATCTAAGTGCTTTGTCAATGTCACTCCATGTGAGAGTTTCGGCTTGTTTTAAACGAACACTTAATGCTTCAAGCAGTTGGTCACCGGGATCAGTTAGCTTGGCTTCAATTGCCCTTATGTCGCTCATTTTGAGGCCAATTTGTAAACCCAAGGGTTTGGATTTATCACGTACTTTATAAAGGGCTTCATGTAAATATTTTAAGTCATCTTCTTCCAAGGGGGATGTCGCATCCCTCAACTCAGTAGCCATACCTCGCAACACCCGAAAAGAACGCAACACTTTTAGCTAGCGCTGCCGTAAATCATGTGAGGATGCCAGCGCTAACTCACTGATTCTCACCAGACTGGGAACTCACAAGGCGAAGAAGAGAGACAAGGAAGAGCAGGGGTGACCGGAACAGCACACGGATGGTGACCCCGCGATTTCCTTCCAGGGCTAAAGAATGTCAGAAACTACTATATACTAGTAGGGGAATGCATGACATTTTTGGCGAGCGGAAGCGCGCTTACAATTGGGGCCTAATCGTATGAGTCACTCTTGTGTGTGCACAAAACAGTGAGATACATTGCACAGGACCAAGTAGGCCGAAACGACCCGAGCGCAGTAGACAATTCGAGTCGAGTCAAAAACAGTCAGACGACAGCGCGAATCAGGCATAATCCGGCAATCTGATTGGTCTTGCAGGAATAGGGAACAAGTGGTAATGTAGAAAAATCTCTCGCTGGACTGTGCAGCAATACTCGATAGCTTCGGAGGTGTTGCGTTTCCCCTGATTCCGCTCGATTCAGGCAGCATTATGAAAATGTTGAAATCCCTTTCGGATAAAAAGAAGCGCGTAATGCAGGAGCATGCGCAGTTGTATATTATATATAGAAAAATCGCGCCGTTCGGACGACTAGGTTAGCTCGCTTCCGCTCGCCAATTATACAGCCTGTTCGCGCATGCGCGCAATCTTCAGTGGCGTTGACTACAACATAGCTTCAGGGATGCTTGTGGCAATTTTCATGATCCAATTTTGGAGCTTGGTTTTCCAGTTATGTCAGAACTGTTTTGTGGTCTGTTTGTTATTGAATTTTATATATCAAGTATTTTTACAGTTGAAGTTTAGGTTCCATTGTACAAACTGCCACACACTTGCGCATGCTCTTTTGACTATCGCCAATGAATACTGTGTAGCACTGAAATATGTTGTTGAGATGTGCATGACACAGCTAAGCACGTAGCACTATAAGACGGTAAGTGCATAGGGTTAACTGACTCTGCGGCAAAAGCACAGCCAAACAAGCTGTTCTAAAAACGACTAGGAACACTCATCGTAGTTCATAGTCCTAGAGGACTAGTGACGACCATTGTTGCATTCACTATTTAATAGTCTGTTTGGATGTATGTATCAGTTAAGGGGTTCCATCCACTTTTTGAAAGATGTCATCACAACCAAAACTATGGGGAAATGCCATAGCAATAACTGCGAGGTCCTCTGCACTAGTTTTCTGTCTTGGTGCACTGTAGCTGCAACCAGCAAAACCCTGAGACTCAGAATGATAGATAGGTATACTGCATGAAGGAGTTTTGTTTGCAGAGCTTCTCTGACTATAATCAGTTCAGTGGGAGGTTGACCACTCTATTTCCTGTAGATGTTTGTTCAGTGTGGAGGACCTCTGCTTTAATTGAACCAACATCACTGGAGCATCAACAGTCATGTACTAGTTCTTCCAAGTTATCCAAAGAGATTTTTAGTGCAGTCAAAGCTAAAGTAGCTAGCTACCAGCATGCTTTTGCTTGTGATAACTTTTGTAATAAGTAGCAACGCAGTTCCTTTGTCTGATTTCTATCCTTATGGTTCTGAAGCTGGGGATGAGTTTTTTGTTCGTGGTGATGACTTATCTTCAAAGCCACTCAACCATACCTTGATGGTCTTTGGAAGTATCCACAACATTGTTAGGGTATGCACTTACTTCAAATACTGTGTCGGAATGTCAGTAGATACTCAGGTCATAACATTGGCGTTTTATGCCCGGGAAAATAATATTCCACCTAGCATACAATAATGGATATGGTGTGATGGTGTCAGGGGTGTCAGCATGCTCATAACTCTTCGTTAACCATGCTTAATATATCCCATCCCTATCTTGTCTCCAAAAACGATTGCATCTTCTTAGCACAACTTCAATCTTAGAATACAGCTGCTGATTTATCACATCGTTGCCAACCAAACCATGGTAAATAATTGATTTAGCATAATCGGAGATCGACTACAGGCCTGACAACTAACAATATTATTCCAACAATTTTGTATATAGATAACAACAAATGGAGTTATTACTACTCACCCGGAAAGTGGACTAGATTACGTATCTATAGCGCCGTTCTATGCGGATGTTGACACGACACCTGACGACGGTGGGTCTGTTTCTTATCGACATACTACTGATCCAGCCCTACTCCAACGAGCCCTGGACGAGATTCAGGGAGCCTACTCACACTCAGCGGCACTGGTATATCTTCTGATTGCTACCTGGGACCATGTTGGCTACTTTGAAGAGAAAACAGATAAGGTAGCAGTATGCCTTTCAGAATAGGTGGTGAGAGCTTTAGAAAACCTTTGAGTGCAACTTTGATGGTAGCTTAACAAACCCTTTCAGTGTAGTTTTAATGGTTTTTGAGTATATATATAGCTATTATACTGTGTGTAGCAACAATCTATTTGAGACTGGCCTTAATAAACTCCTGTGAACAAACTAGTCGAGTGTAGCTTTAACTTTTGACAGTAACTTTAACAAACTTATTGACTGTAGCTATAGCTTTAACTTTTGAGTGTAGCAAAGTTTCACGTGCAGTTTTATTTTTGCAGACAAACACCTTCCAGTGTGTGGTTGCTGTGGGTAGCAACCAAACCTATGTTATATATCTCTATGCCGATGGTCTGATGGAGTGGTTTGAAAAGGAGGATTCAGGGGCTGGATACAATTATGATAACACAACTTTTTTCCTTAACGACACTAGGATGGTTCCGTTCACCTCCAATATCGGATGCCCTGGGGTGTGGGTGCTTCGAGTAGACAGAGAAGAACTTGTACTACCAGATAGTGTAATGATTACTTCAGACTCCAATGCAAAATTTCACCACTATTATTGCAATTGTTGCAGAGATATGTGACAGTACAAATGCATCAAAGTATCCAGCACAATGCTTCAATATGAGTGTGCACGTTTCAGAACCATCTTTTGAATGCGCACATAGGTAAACACTGCAGTGGTACCATTTTCACATAAGCTGCATGTATGTACCGTAGGTTTGGTTCCTGTGTACCGTTCAATCTAAAAGGTTCAGAAACAATCTGCGATGGTATTTATACACCTGGAGTGGACTATGTGTTCAACCGTTTCGACAAGGATGGAGGCATGCATCCCCAGTTCATCAGGAAATTTGAAATATTTTCGGTTGTGTTGCACAATTTTTTGGACAATTCCATTCCTGTCTGCCGGGACCTATTTCTCGTCTTCTTTGCCACTACTACTATCCTCTGTGTGGACTAGCCAAAGACTTCTATCCTCCAACTGCCGTGTGTCCTGAGCAGTGCAGAGCTATCACTCAACTCTGCCCAGAAGAGTGGGCGACAGGTCTCAGAAGAATTCAATAATCATGTTTCCCCCGAAGGAGTACTTTTATAGAATGTAACGAGACAGGGGAGCACTTGGCTCCCTTGCCCCACTGCTGCTCTGATCTGCCTTTGAACATTAGTGGGATGGTTCCTACTCAGGAGTGCTGCAGCCAAAACACTGGTTAGTCACTCACGGTCAGATGGTTCATGCAAAACTTAGCTATGTTGCCCTCATTCCGGAAGTTAGGATAATATGTTGGCCTCAGTACACAGTAAGATTATGCATATGTGGTACTTTTACCAAGAACTCATTTTTGCGAAACACTCATATGCACATAGCTAATAAGGTCAGGAGAACAGTAAACAAAGTTCAATGTATATAGTGCAACAAAGCAAGACAAACTGGAAGTTTAAGAAACTACATTAATTGTATAGAATCAGTCAGTTATTGCCTGCATTCTGCTATTGTTATACCTATCCAAATATCACAGATGCAACTGGGGCTCCTTCTGGGTCTCATGTGAAAATGATTATCATCATCACAGTTACAACATTGGGTCTGATTACAGTTGTTGCTATTGGTTTCTTTGTCTACTTTGCTGTGAAGAAAGTAAATAAAAAATCCATCAGAAATATGAGTTATATACGATGTTCCAAACTATCATAAGTTTTGTTAAGTGTGTTACACTACCGCTAATTACGTGTCATGTCTTCTAGGTTTTGGTCACTTGCTCTGCCTTTCTGGTTCTGTCAAAATAATAGTGATGCTGTAATTATCCCACTCCATCATTTCATCAATATAGATCACAAAAAACTGCTGCTGTTGCTGATGGAGAGGAACTCCAAGGGGTTGACCACCGCTACACCACAAGTAAAACCATATTTTGGTAACCAGAGCTTTATGTTTCACAACCAAAGGTCTTTCAGCCAAAGAGGATAGACGTTCTCAGATCCCAGTGAATTTATCAGAACTGACTAGAAAAGTATCGGATAAAAACCTTTTAGTCCATGAAAAACATATCAATACCCTCAGTGTTGTTGGTGAAGGTTAGTTGTTTTTGATCTTTGTTTGTTATTGTTACATTATGAAATGCTATAATAGGTCAATTTGGCATTGTTTACCGTGCTATTCTACAAAGCAGAGGAGATGTTAATAGTATAGTTGCCGTGAAGACACTGAAAAGGTAACATTACTTTTATGTGCTGACATTTGTGCATAGCTACATAGTTACTGTGTAATATTGTGTTCATTGTCACATATGTATACAAGTGTATCTTTAAAAAAGTAAAGTCTTAAGGCACTGATCAATTACACCGTGTCACAGTTGTTTTTATTTTCGTTTTCTTGTTAATTATCCCACTTGATGCAGGAGTCTTCAGTTCCAGTGATCTCCACCAACTTGTGGAGGAGAGTCAGATCATGGCTAGGTTTGACCACCCCAATGTCATGAAACTCCTGGGAGTGACAATCAGTGGGAACAAGACGTTTATCATCATGCCGTACATGGCTCAAGGCAGTCTTCTGTCTTATCTGAGAAAACACAGAGCTGAGCTGACTATAGATAATGCCGATATGTCCGACATGGTATATATGTATTGTAGTGGATTTAGCTACTAGTGATACCTCCCTCATAATAGCCAAGAACAGATTGAAGATTTTAGTCCCAATCTAATCTGTTCTGCCTCACTTATGCGGGATGGGCTGAGTAATACAGCAGGCAGAGGAGAAGTGTCAGCAACATCCTCCACTCCCCTGCACCAGACCTTTATGTGAATAGTAGGCCGGCCAATTAACTAATTACTCAAGAGATCTTGAGTTCAATTCTTAACAGGGTCCATCATTTCTTTCACTTTATTAACAGAGAACTTCTCTTTCAGCAAAATGAAAGCTTGTGTTTTCTTATTGTATATTCAGATTGAAGCAACAAGCAGTAAGCTTCTTTCCATGTGTTTACAAATTGCACGAGGAATGGAGTACTTGGTGCAGAGGAAGTTGGTTCATCGTGATCTTGCAGCCAGAAACTGCATGTAAGGGAGTATGAAAGATCAACAATACGGGATGTAGCTAACCTCATTCTTTCCCGTAGGATTGATGCACATAATTTGTTGCAGACTTTGGTCTTTCGGAGGAGATTTATGCTAGAAATTACTTCAGACAAGAGACGGCGTCAAACAAGGAAGGAGAGGCTCCTGTGAAACTACCAGTGAAATGGATGGCTCTAGAGAGCCTGCACGACGGAGTGTTCTCAGAGAAAACTGATGTTGTAAGTGTGGTCGTTTGTCAAGATACCATTATTTATCCATGCACCCACAGTGGTCCTTTGGAGTGACTTCCTGGGAGGTGTTCTCTTTGGGGAAGAACCCCTACCCTGGAGTGGACCCTTTTTCTCTCATCAGATATCTTGAGAGTGGGGAGAGACTGGACAAACCTCTCAATGAGGCCTGTTCTCAGGAGATGTGAGAATTGCTCATACTGTGTAATACACTTTTAACTGATACTCGTTCTCAGCCATGGGATGATGAAAGAGTGTTGGAATGTGGAGCCTGACAAACGACCAACTTTCTCTCAACTGGTGGCTGACATCTCCACCAGACTGGAGGGGTTGTCTGGATACTTGAAACTCACGATGTAATCCATAAGCTACACCATGTCGCAAAATTGTAATCGCTTTATGTTATAACTTTTAATGCCCGAAAAAAGTAACTCAGTGTCGGTGTGACGCGCAGCCGTTTCGCACAACTGGATCCGGGAATAGAGTGCGCATGCGCTCTGTATTACGTGCCCCGCCCTATTACCACCCCGCCTATTGCACTCGAGGGTGTTGCCTGCTACGCCTAACTCAGCTCAACGAGACAAACACCAACACTGTGCTTGCTGGAACAAGAGGGGGTGGCTCCGCGAGACTTTAAACAGTGAGTTTTGACTAACGTTGTGGACTACGCGTGTTTGATCTTTCCAATTCCCTACATATAGGTAAGGCCCCGCCACCACCATGGCCTCCACTAAACTATCACCGTCCGAAATAGTGGCTGCTCTTGATAAACTGACAATAGAAAAGACAAAGGAGCTATTTTTTCATCTCAATGTCCAACTCAAAACTCTTGATGACATCGACACAAACCACACGGGAAACATGCGCAAGATCCGCTACGTCCAGGCCTGGTTTGACCAGGAGGCGGGGGCCAGTTGGGAGAAGATTGTAGCTGGCCTCAAAAAAATAGGTATGACGGCACTGGCTGACACTTTGGCAACTCAGCAATGTTCAGGAGAAACTCCAACCCTAGCTCCCATCATTATGGCCCCCGGCCTCGACCTCCCCTCCTCTCCAGTGACGACAGCCCCAGATGCAGGTGGTCCTCAAACCAGTGGATCATCTCCCAGTGAGCCCGCCCTCGGTCCCCTGGCACGTCCCTCCTCCCCCACTGACAGGGTGTCACAGGTGAGAGCCGAGATCGACCGACTCAGTGACACCTTCTCAGACCTCATGTCCGACACGAGAGATGAAATGTGCACGAGAGAAAGTGTAGATCCACGGTTTCTTGACAAGTTTCGTGATCGTCTTTTAGATCTTCCTGTCGCCCAAAAGGCCCCTCATGCCAAGTTTTTTCATGAAAGGCTGGATGAATTTCTAAAAGCAGAGAATACTCGAAAAATATTTGCCATCATCCGGTGCTACAATAACTACCGCAACTATGCAGTTCTCCGAGAGGTGGTCAGGAAGTTCTGTCAGGGGTTTGCTCCAGCGAAGGATGCAGGAATACTGCGAGTCTCTCGAGAAGTTTGAGAAAGCGACAATGGTCGATGTGTACCTCGAGGCCATTGAAGCTAGTGATGTTCTCGCCTCAGAATTCACCAAAATGACGGTAAAGATCAACAAGTCAGCGTCGCAGTGCAGTCTCCACGAAATTCGCAAGACGACCGAAGCGATCGCAGAAAGAGCGTCTCTACAGTTGTACGGTGTCTACATTGGGGCGGTGTTGGAGGGCTCGGTTGTGCTGGAGCTGGGACTCCCGTCCAGCTGTGTGGGGTGGATTCTGGGAGCCTTGACACCCGACTTCCTATCCACACATCTCCTGTCAGATGTGGTCCTTGATCAAGATATGCTTTTTACCGTCGACAAACCCCGGGAGATTTTGGTACGTGTTTTATTACCAATTATTTAGGGTAGTTTTACAGGCCATGATACGTAGGTAAATCCCCTGTTTGAGGCAACGTATCCAATCCCATGCATCAAGTTTTGAACCTGCCTTAGATCAGTGGTAGATCCAAGTATAGGTTACGACGTGCATGTGCACTCCCACCCCTTCTCAGCTGTAATAGCTAGCTTTCCTTCTAATGTTGTTCATGTGTAACACTTGTGCCCAAAATTTCCTGGATATTTTACCGAAAAGCATTATAGTGCAAACCCTCGGCAGAGACGCGCGAGTACATATGCATTGCACCCATAGCAATTGATGGGCTGGGATATGCTGATCATCTCTGGTTGACCGTCTTCTGCAAGCTTTTGACAGGGGTTAGCAGTAGATAGCATTTTAGGCATCGCGAGATTCGACATCCCAAATCAAGCCAATGTAGCGTGAACTCGTTGGTGTCGCTCTTTGGCCAGCTTGTTGCATGTGGTGGCGGAAAGCATGCTGACAATGTTGAATGCCCACTTATTAAAAGTCAGTTAGAGCTGCTTTGGAAGAGGAAGATCACAAGTACATTTGGGAGCAAGTGTCATCTCAGGAAAGCCTTGCTGCACAACAGATAGACAGACACACACACAATATATAGTACAAACAATGACCCTTGCTGCGCATGGGCATGAGGGTTGATCATAGACAAGCTGTAGATAGATACCAGTTTATTTTCTCCTCCCTCCCCGAAGAGCCTTGACAATGTTCTCAGATGCCATCATGGGTTGTGTCAACTTATGTTTCCTACATATCTCCGCAGAATGATGAACTGTTGTATGCCTGTATATCAGGGGATGTGATAACAGCTGCGTCTCTTCTCAACAGTGGAGCTGATATCGAAGCTTTAGACACGGTATGTTTTAACATCACTGCATTGGCGATTTTGCTGAAACGACTGCGTTCGAGAGCGACATACTGACACGGTCGCGGACAGCGTTGCGTGGCCCAACCCATCAATAAGCGGTGCGCATGCGTGTATTAGACGTGATTAACGCACACCTCGCCCTGATCCGCTTGCTCTGTGTACCTTGGAGCACAAGAAGCCACAGCGAAGGGTGTTTATCGACTCTCGCATGCTATCTACTACTGTAGCTAGCCAGTATCAGACTCTCCGTAAGCTACTAGCAGGGAGACCGCGAGTTAACGCCATAGCCCAGCCCATCCATTAGCGGTAAGGTAAATGGGGGTAACTTCGGACACGGGGTAACACCCGGACATAATTGCTAATCAGAAACAAGAGAAAGATTCGGATATATTACTACCTGCCAAAGCGCTAACAAATCTTCCTCATGTTTTTTTTCGCAGCGCATAATTTCGAGGCCGGTGCAACGCCCCATGTCCGGAGTTACCACCATTTACCTTATATATACCGCGCATCGTAGTTCGCCGAGGGTTTGCACTTTAGTGCTTTTCATTGTAGTATGTTTTTACTAAGTCAGCTTAAAGTTAGGCCATCATATTTTGTTTACTGTGGCTGAGTCCATCATTTTCACTACTGACGAGCGTGTTTTTTTTCTGTGTATGTCTATGGACACGTGGACGAAGACATGTAGGCAGTTACAAACAAATCGTGATGTTACACATTCAACTAGCAGTCTTGGCATAGTATGAATGTGAGGTATTTTCTTAATGGAACCCCTCCGATTCCTGATCATGAAAAGCACTAAAGTGCAATCCATTGACAGCGCGCTAGCGACTCTAGCCTAGCCGTGACTGTAGTACGCACCATGCTTGTGCAAAAAAAGCACTGCTGGGCTAGGCCATGGCGAGCAGTTGCTGGCAATGTTAGTTTCTTCCTGTATTATGGGCTAGCAGCACTGGACTTGATACTCGTTCTCACCCCCCCTGTGAGTGCCGAGAAAATATCTGGATTTAATTAAATTCCATGAGTTGGGCTACCTGGCTTCGCTCTGCTACCAGCACAAGCTATTGCTCCATGCTAAAATGGAAATATCACTGGAAGAACATGATTCTGCACCAATGGTTTGTGTCTAGTTTGAGGCTTTTTCCACCATCCTGTAGAATTTTGCCGAACAAAGTGAGCCCTTTTAATGTGTACCTAGTGACTGATATTCATGGTTTATCTCTATCAAATCGAACATGTGCATGCACAAAAATCCATGCTAAACTTATGGTCGTGTACATCCAGAAGATTAGTATTTTTTAGTGTTCTGCATGGGTGTGTCCATCTGTCTGTCTGTTTCTGGGAGGAGCTAAGCATATTGTTGGGTGTTCGCCTAAGACATGTAATGAAGCCGTTAGGGGCGTTAGGGGGTGGGGGGGTGGGGTTTGATACGTTACAAGGGCGTAGGGATAAGAATAAGTTGAAGTGGTGGTATAAGTTAGCGGCATTGCCAGGCAATAGGTATCCGAAGAAGCTTTTTAATCAGGAATGGAATTTAAGCCACGGAGAGGCAGGCAGAGAAAGTGCTGGAGTAAGGTCATTGATGATCTCTTTTCGTCATTAGGTCTTGACAAGGCAGAGTGGTTGCAGGATATTCATAATGGGGATTGCACCATGAAGGGATTTTTGTCTATAGTAGGGGACAGTATCAATGAGAGGGAGATTAGAAAGTTTGAAGAGGGGCTAAATAGCAAAGTAAAGCTGTTAGTGTTTAACAAGGTCGTAGAGTTCAGTACTTGCATTGGAAAAGTGACACTGGGACTAGATTAATGTGTTCAGGTCAGGCACGCATGGTTAGGTTATGCGGCGATAATCCCAGCGTACAACAGACCCAGTCTTAGATTGCGTCTGGGGAGCTGTATGGTGTCAAGGGGTGAGTTGAGGTGTCTGGGGGGTGAGACAGACACCTCATGTTCATAATTATGGTGTATGTTCGTTTGTTACAGTTCCGCCCATTGCTCTGGGTGCGTAGTCTATGGCCCTACCCGTGTAAAACAAAGCACACAAACTCAGGTATAGGCGCATTATTTTGTGGTGGTTTACTACGCGTTGTCACACGCTATTACGCACGCCGTGGGCGTGTCATTACGCAGTTAATCGTAAACAAGCGCGGTCGCACTCCCAAGTATTTACACTCTAGAGCACTGTTCCACACAAACGTGGGTGTGTCAGTACGTGGTTATGCGCGAACGAGCGTTTGCTGAAAAAAAAACATCGCGAAATACCGCGAGCGTAGAGTGTACACCGGCGATTGGGGGTTGAGCACGCCGTCGCGAGGTATATACTGCGCGCGAACGCTAAGACTGCGTAAATTGGTGTGACTTCCCGCTTGAGTGCGTAAAAGCGTGCAACCGTCGCCATCTGTGCGCGCTATTACACACATTGTTAACCCTCGGCACTCGAGGGTTATAGTAGTTGGTCTGTGTGTGTGTCTGTTACCACGTTTTCACCACGCGCAACAAACCGGCCAAAAAGCTACACCAACAGGTTCAGCGCTACACTGGCTTCATTTAAAAAATGGCGATTTTCGTAAAAATACTGCGTTCTACAGTTATGGCGTGAAAAGCAAGTGAACAAGCCAATATGCTAATTAGCGCAGGCTTACCTCGACCGGGTCGGCTTGCTCTGTGTATCTTGAAGGCACATGAAGTCACAACGAAGGGCGTGTATCGACTTCCGCATGCTATCTACTACTGTAGCTAGACCGCGTCCGACTCTCCGCGAGCTACTAGCGGGAGGCCACGAGTAAACGCGTATTATATACAAATAGCCCAGCCCATCAATTAGCGGTACCGCGACATGCGCAGTTCGCCGAGGGTTTGCACTTTATATCATTTTACACGGGTAGTGCTATTGCAGCCACCTGAGTATTTTTATTATTAGTGTATGATGGTGTCTGTCCCTATAGAGTTCAAGAACTCCTCTGCTCTTTGCCATTTTGAATGGTGAAATCCAAGTGGTTCGTCTCCTGATATCAAGAGGAGCTGATCTAAACCAGGGGAATGGGGTGAGAGACAATTTATGCATGCGCAGCAAGGGTTGCAGTACTTTTGTCTCACTTGTACAAAGGTGTTTAGCCACTTAGTGTAGAAACGTAATATTTATAGTGTGCTGCGGGTTTGCATTTTAGTGCTTTCCTTATGTCATGGCATGTAGAAAACCGCTAAAACGAAATTCTCTTTCCCGTTCACCTCCCTAGAAGTAGTTGTTTATACAGGCACTATGTACATACATACTTTCCTTATGGCATACTTTTCTTATGGGATATGCAGCTAACCTTTGAGTGTTATTGTTTCAAGGTTAGTGAAGGATACCATCAGAACGGAAAAGTTACGAGGACTCCAATGGTGTTAGCGTTTTTACAAAAAAACGCAATGACGTTTGAGGAAGTCAAATAGAATTTAGACAGTGCAGGAAGGTTGTCCACATTAAGGGTTGTAAGTGCCGTTAACAGATGGGTTGGGCTGCACTGTTGATTTACGTGCACTTTCTCACTAGCTTTCTAAGAGTTTCAGAATATGGGCTATATAGCTACCCACCCCCTCTGTTGTAATTTCCAATGTCTCCCATGGTACACAAAACTAGAATGCTAATTTGCATACTGGCACTTGGTTTTCATGCCAAAATGAACATTGCCATTTTTAAATCAAGCCTTAACCTATTAGTATTACTCTTTCACCAATTTGTTGCATGTGGTGATAAAAGACAGACTGACTCACTTACTACAAACTGAAGTATGCATATGCATGAAGGTTTATGAATAGGATCACACATGTTCAGTGCCTACAGCCATTTGTATATATACAATAAGCATGAGCTTGTATGTTTCATTGAGAATAAGCATTATGCATTGTACTACTAGAACAATGAGGAATGCGACATAATGTTGGCGACGCGAACAGTTCAATATTTCGTGCGTGTTTTGCACGTGTTTAAAATGACATAAAATATTATGGTACATATGTGTGGCATTGCCTGATAGAAAGAAAGAGAGGGAAAAGCGGCCCGTTGGCAAGACTAGGTAGGCTCGCTTCCCTCGCCAATTATTTTGTGAGGTTACAGACATACATAGGATCACACACACCTACAATAGAAGGGCCTATAGGCCAACACAATACGAATGCACTTCAGTGTTCTCCCCAGGATAATTATAAGGCTTATGGGGAGCAAGCAATGTTAGAGTGTTCAGGGCAACAGGAGAGTAATTAAGCGCGCAAAGCGCGCCCCCTAGGGGGGTCTGGGGGCATGGTCCCCCAGGAAATTTAGGACATTCTGAGAGTGTTTCTGGTGAAATCTGGCAAATAATATGGCCTCTTGCCAGGCCTACATAGTCAAGTACATACAAGCTTGATTGGGTATCTCCAGGTAGCTAAACTTCAAGTGTAAATGTGTCGAGGTGGCACCGCTGGCTATTATCTTAACACTGTCCCCTCTGCGCCGATCCAACGAGAGACCGTTGCCGCTACCGGCCACGCGTGCCTCCCCTTCATGACCATCCAAGGAAAATCACTAACCCATCTAGGATCAATACCTGTTTTACTACGCACAGAGCTCTCACAAGTGGCGCCACCTGCAGGCCGCTTTGCCATACCGCTGCTGCATCGAGCCAAAACCCAACACGTGAAATGGGTGTGGCTAAGGATTTACGCGCATGCGCACACGTAAAACCTGCCACGCGAACGCTTAGTGGCCCATATCCCTTTCGTGGATAACGCATATAGCGGAGCGCTAAGCCAAAACGGCCTCTGGGGAGAACACTGCACTTGCGAAGCAATTTTTGTTAGTAGATACATAGAGCTACTTGAGCATAAGTACGTATAATGTGTATTTTACTAATGTTTTTGTGAGGGTTTAGGACAAATTATTTAGCAGGTTTAGAGGTGATTGCCATTACTAGCCTCTCTTTTGTCAAACAGTCACCACTGAGGTGGGCAGCTGGTGTAGGTGTCGATGTCGTTAAGGAGCTGGTGCAAGAAGGAGCCAGTTTGGACCTTCAGGATAAGGTAACAACTACATCTGTCATTCTTACCTCTCAGACTCCATAAACAAATAAATAATATAATGGAACCTCTGAACGAGGGACACACCTTGAGGACATTTTTGTCCCTTGAACAGAAGTTGTCCATATCTCGGAGGTTTGCCTTTTTTGCTCTTAAGAGTGGAAACTAATGTCTGAATCATGAACTGCCTTGCGCAAGGTGAGTATAAGGACTGCACAAAGACTGCGTTGATGGGTTCGGTTTATTGTCTTATGCTTGCACAAGGCGTCATTGGAATAATGTATGTAGGTTCAATTTACACAGATTAGTTATATACCACCTGTGTACAAAGACCTGTGCTGCCGATGATCTCTTCAAACAATACCTAGCTCACTCTTCAACTGCAGTTAGTATAGCATTTTTATCTGCTTTAGGAGGCAAAAGTGCGTGGTTCATGGTTCTGGTGTTCTGATTTGTGCAGGTCCTTTTATAAGTTTGCTAAAAAGCATGCACAATTTACGAAAAAATATAGCTGCAGCTAGCATACGCAAACATGTGGAGGATGGTATATGTCTGCCAGCAATGGATAGGTTCCTCAGTCGCCATGTCTCGCATAGATAGAATGTATATTTTTAGTGACATATTTATTTTGGAAATATATTTTTATTTTTCTTACACGTGTATATGCTGAGCGTTATTTAGAGTAATCACATGTTTTTTCTATCGACGTTGCATCGTCGTACTGTGTAAGTTTCAGAGTTTTTACCAATAGTCTATTAATCCTTTGAGGCTTTCTATTTTTCTACTGGCTGTTGATTTTATCCTGTAGTTGCCGTTCTTTTGTATATAATCTCTATCTATTTATTCTCTAACTATGTGTAAGGGAGGTTGGGACACTGGGTGTGTAGGGAGAGTTGGGTCCATAAAAGACTCTTTTAACCTACCGCCCCGGTTCTCAAGGCTGGGCACCCAGGGTCCTGCCTCTCTATTTCTGTTTATATGTTATTGTCTGACAATTCTATTTTTATATATTGTTTCTTACATGTGTATATGTTGTGCGCTATTTAGAGTAATCGCACGTTTTTTCTAAGTTGCATCGTCGTACTGAGTAAGTTTCCAAGTTTTTATAATTTCTATGAGTCTATTAATTTGGGTGGGGTGGTTTAAGGGTTCTTTCTTTTTCTCTCACATTATTAACCCTCGGCGCGCATGCGCAGCGAGGGTTACGGTAGTTGTCCTGTAAGTGTGTCTGTCCGTCTGTCAGTCTGTCTGTTACCACGTTTTCTGCCACCGTGCGCAAAACTGCTGTGTTTTAAAGTTATGGCGTGAAAACCAAGTGAACAAGCCAATATGTAAATTAGCACAGGCTTACCTCGACCGCGTCCGTTCGCTCTGTGTGTCTTGAAGGCACAACAAGTCACAACGAAGGGCATGTATCGACTCCCACATGCTATTTACTACTGTAGCTAGCCCGTGCCAGACTCTCCGCGAGCTACTAGAGGGATACCACGAGTAAAGGCATAAAAAGCCCAGCCCATCAATTAGTGGTACCGCACATGCGCAGTTCGCCGAGGGTTTGCACTTTATTAACCCTCGGCGCGCATGCGCAGCGAGAGTTACGGTAGTTGGGTTTGTGTGTCTGTCTGTCTGTCTGTTACTCGTCATCTCACTTCTCGAGTGTTCGTTCGTCTCACAAAGGATACCACCTACTGAACGGGCAATGAAGGTCAGAAATTTTGAACGGTTTTCGCTGAAAACGCTCCGTTGCAAAGCTAGAGCGCGAAAAAGCCAATATGCAAATACACAACGGCTTACTACGGCATGATCGATCCGCGTGCTCTGCGTACCTCGGAGGCACCAGAAGATGCAACGCAGGGCGTGTATCGCCTCTCGCATGCTATCTAATAGTGTAGTTAGCCCGCGTCAGACTCTGCGCGAGCTGGCAAGAGACCACGAGTAACAGCTAAAACAAAACCCAGCCCATCAATTAGTGGTACGGCGCATGCGTTTACTTACGCGTGCGCGTAACAGTGCGCCGAGGGTTTGCACTTCAGTGCTTTTCATTCTTTTAGCTAGTATGCTATAAACATGTTTTTTCATGGGCTGAGTTCAATTAGAGATGTGCTTGGTGTTTTTTTGTCTAAAGCTGGAAGGTACAAGGAGTCCGTCTCTCAGTTGTTTCTAACGATTCTGTGGTAGTCTCAGTCTTTGCCTGCGTCTTGGAGGTTCTCCGCTTCTCGGAGGATCCGCTGTATTTTGAAGCAATCCATGTCCTTCAATTTTACTCTCCCCACAGGGAGGGGCCTCTGCAGTCATCCATGCTGTATGGGAAGAAGAGCCAGATGTTCTGAGGGAGCTGGTGAGGGCGGGGAGCAATCTTAACCTCCAGAACCATGTACAGTTACAGTTTTACATTACTTTATAAGTTGTATGGTTGCAAGAGCTTAGTAGTACTAATCAACAACGGACCAAACATTAGCTACACACCTACAGTTCACACCTCACTGTTATTTTATTGAGGTGCATAGTATGAAGGGGTCAGAGTCAGAGTGGGCCAACCCTCAATATACAACTCTTGCCAGTTATATGTTCTAAAATTAATGTCCTTATAGAACAAATCGGCAAAGAGTTGTAAATTGAGGGTTAGCTCACTCTGGCTCTGACCCTTCAATTATGCAACATGAGCTTGTCTTAGCATTCCAGCTTCTCATCCCATAGTATATGTTTTATTTGGAGCATTATTAATTCTTGGCGCGCATGCTCAGCGAGGTTACTGTAGTTGTTGTGTGTGTGTGTCTGTCTGTCCTTTACATCTCACTTCACGAGCCATGAATCGCTCCACACACAATACAAGGTATTCAGCATCGGGTATATGTCGAAAAGTTTGGTTTTCTCTGACACTGCTGCATTCGAGAGTTACGGCGTGAAACACGAGCGAAAAAGCCAATATGCTAATTAGAACAGGCCTACCTCAAACGGGTCCGCTTGCTCTGCGTACCTTGGAGGCACAAGAAGTCACAGCAAAGGGACTGCAGCATGCTATCTACTGCTGTAGCTAGCCCGTGTCACACTCTCAGTCCTCGAGCTGCCAGCGGGATACCACGAGTGAATGCATACTAATAGCCCAGCCCATCAAATGAGGGGTATCGCGCATGCGAAATTCACCGAGGGTTTGCACTTTAGTGCCGACCGACCACTTCTGAGGATGCGTGGGTGGTTTTTATAAGATAATGTCGCCATGCCGCCCGCTTACCGGGTGAGAGTTCACAAATGTGCGAGTTTTCTTGACGTTTCTGGATAGGGAGTTTTGTTCATCTTCTTCTCCTTCTCCTTCTTCTTCTTCGTATAGGTAAGACGGCAGATTCGAGTGTCTTCGTGGTTCTAAAGCCTGCGTGGGAGGCTGGAATGATGCAATAGTAACCGAGGCGGAGCGGAGGTTTCTATTGCGTCATTCAGCCGACCACAAGGGCTGTTGAACCACGAAGGCACGAGAATTTGCCGTCTTAGTTGTTAAGAAAATGGATAGCCGTACGGTTGGCTGTAGCTCGTCCGCCTTCAACCTTGGTTGGTAGCAGCTCTTTGAAGAAAGCACCGCGGAGGAGTGTTCTCCCAAGCCAATACCGGGCGCAATCCACGATGGCGCCGATGTATGAAGTGCCGTTTGTCTCAGAACTACTTTTTTGTTGGATCAAGCCTAAACGTGTGAATTTACGTAAATATCGCGAGAGTTTAGCTAAACCTCGTGCAATCGTCGCACGACTTTAGGCAAACACCGCATGACTTTAGCTAAACACTGCATGACTTTAGCTAAATAGTGCATGACTTTAGCATCCATCGTTGCATTTAGCTAAAAGGGCATTACTACAGCTAAAAACCCATGCATTTAGCTTTGGTCATCGATGTTAGCTAAATATCGAAGGCGAATGTTAAATTTACGCGAATTTAGCTAATAATCGACGGCGGATGCAAATCTGCAGCGTATAGCCCTAAAGTCATGCGCTGATTAGCTAAAGTAGTGCGGTGTTTAGCTAAAGTCATGCAGTGTTTAGCTAAAGTCATGCGACGATTGCTAGACGGACGTATAATACAGAAAATTCCGCTCGAACGAACGACTAGGTTGGCTCGCTCCCACTCGAATCACACGAGGTTTAGCTAAACTCTCGCGATATTACGTAAATTCACGCGACGTTTAGGCTTGATCCAAAAAAAGGTAGTTCTGAGACAAACGGCACTTCACACCGATGCTGGTCAGTACTGACTATTAGCGGCGGCGTCTCAACTTTTCGACGATAGCCCGACAGGGGAGAGCCCTCCCGCTTCCACACTGGGCACTGGGCACTGTCGAAGACTTCGTCGACGATGACTGAGAATCACTGTTATTAGCAGCATCGCAACAGTTCGAGTCAGGGCGAGGTCTGAGCAGTCTCAGCTCGTGATCATCGCTTCTGGACGCCGCGGTCTGTGCGTACTGTAAACGGGAGGGTCTCAGTTAGAAGTAAGCCACCTGACTGCAGGTATCTTATTGCTAAGAGACCTGCGTGTAGGTCTCTTAGCCCAAAATGAACCTCATTAGCTATTAATTTTCAAAGCATTCTTGACATTCCATTTTCTTATTCAGATTCAACACCCATAACTCAAAAACGAACAAACATAATTATAGTAATGAAATTTTGTAAGAATGTAAATATCCGTCACCCGAGAAGACTGGTCATACTTATTTCTTTGTAAACAACATTCTTTACTGTAAACAACAACAAATAGCCCCCAGGCAATACATTATAATGGGATCACATGTGTCAGTATAACTCACAAATGGTAAGAGCTATGTGAACGAAACTTTGTAGACATAATGTATTCAATCACCAACATCAATATTACAACAATACATGTTTGTAAACAACAACAAATAGCCTCAGGTACTTTTCTTTAAATTTACTTCTTCAATCCTCAAACTCTCCAATGGTAGCGCACATAGAGATGAAGCTTGGTAAGTATGCCTATAATATCATTGCCATCATGATTACATGTTTCCATGACGACCGCATATTGTTTGAAAAAGCCTCAGGGAATTTTCTTTAAAACCACTTCTTCACTCCAATTGTAGCACACATGGAGGTGAAACTTGGTGCACATGTGTATTGCATCGTTTCCATGACGACCACTGCAACAAATAGCCTCAGGCACTTTTCTTTAAAATTACTTCTTCACTCCTCAAACTCGCTAACGGTACCACGCATGGAGATGAAACTTGGTACGCATGTTGTAACATCATTTCCGTGACGACCACAACAACAGGCACTTTTCTTTAAAATTACTTCTTCACTCCTCAAACTTGCTAACTGTAGCACGCATGGAGGTGAAACTTAGTGCACATGTGTATTACATCATTTCCATGACGACCACAACAACAAATAGCCTCAGGCACTTTTCTTTAAAATTACTTCTTCACTCCTCAAACTTGCTAACGGCAGCACATATGGAGATGAAACATGGTATGCATATCATTTCCATGACGACAACAAGCATTTTTACCCTCGGCGCGCATGCGCAGCGAGGGTTACAGTAGTCGTTCTGTTTGTCTATCTGTCCGTCTGTCCGCGCGAGTTCTCGCACTACAGGCTACGAGGCGGCCAATGAGTGGCACCAACGGATTGTAAACAACGAGAAGATTGATATTAATGTGGCGATTTTCCTGAAACGACTGCGTTCCAGAGATATGGCGTGAAAACAAGCGAAAAAGCCAACGCGCGGTCGATCGAGCACGCGCATGCGCCCTCTCCTGCAGGCTAGCTATAATAGTGTGCACGCGTCATGTCAATTAATCGCCGGAACATGCGCTACGCCACGTTGATTGTATATACGATCCACGGCCTCCTGTCAGGCTTGATCTCTGTTCCCTATGGATAAACGATAAACATGCTGAGCAAGGTATGTTCGCAATGTAGCAGTTCAAGTGGCGAGCAGTTTGTGGTTGCGGCCTTGCCTTTCCATCTATAAAACATCTGGCGAGAGCATTGAAACACAGAAGAGCAGATAGAAAGCAAATATGAGAGCCTCTGAAACACCTGAGCTATTGCTCTAACCGCTAATGCAATGAAAAGCACTAAAGTGAAAACCCTCGGCGAACTGCGCATGCGCGCTACCAGTAATTGATGGGCTGGGCTTTTTTTTTATACTCGTTGTATCCCGCTAGTAGCTCGCGGAGAGTCTGGCACGGGCTAGCTACAGATTGCATGCGGGAGTTGATACATGCCCTTCGTTGTGACTTCTTGTGCCTCCAAGATACACAGAGCGAGCGGACGCGGTTGAGGAAAGCCTGTGCTAATTTGCATATTAGCTCCTTGACTTTCTTTTCACGCCATAACTTTCGAACACACCATTTTTACCGAAATCGCTATTTGCCAGTGTGGCACTGAACCCGTTGGTATCGCTTTTTGGGCGTCTTGTTGCGCGTAGCGGGAGAAAACGTGGTAACAGACAGACAGACGGATGGAATGACAAACCAAGTACTACTAGTAGGCGAATGCACGGCATTTTTGGCGAGCGGGAGCGATCTAACGATTGTGTGTGCATGCGCAAAAAAACTGTTGATTCCTGTGTAGTAACAGTAGTCGACCCACTCTCTCCTCGGCAGACTCGGCGGCAATTCGCCTTGTCTGATAGCTTCGGATCTGTTGGAGCCTTGCCCGTTGCGTTTCCTCTGATTCCGCAGCACGTGTCGCTCTTGCTCGTACACGACTAGTCGTGCTTCCCTTTCTTCCGTTGTTTCCGTGGACAGTCATTGCCTTGCCCGTTCCCTATCACGCAGTCGCCGTCGAGAAAGACGGGCCTCTCTCTGCTCAGAAGTCTCACTGGCACGACGTTCTCTTTCCCTTTCTCGTCGACGACGAAGGGCATCTTCTCTAGACCGATCCGTCGACACGAGAAATATACGGTGTAAAAATTTGAAATGTTTTTCGGATAAAAAGAAGCGCGTGGACGACGTACGCGGTCGTATATAGAAAAATCGCGCCGTTCGTACCACTAGGTTAGCTCGCTCCCGCTCACCAACTAGTAGGCGAATGCATGGCATTTTTGGCGAGCGGGAGCGAGCACATAATGACTCATCTGCACGAGACATCCTACAACTTGGAGGTATAGACAGCCTCGGTCAGGTATCGAAGAGCGCAGCGAATGGCAGCAAATAGACGAGAGTTGTTTGGCTGGCTATATTTCGCATCGATATGACAGCTAGGTAGCGTGTAAAATTTGCACGTTCCTATCACGAACAGCGACGCTGATACAAACCAGCCTCTCTGCTCAGGAGTCTCACGGGCACGATGTTCTCTTTCCCACTCTCTTCGACGACGAAGAGCATCTTCCCCGGACTATATGCACATGTATACGCACGACATC